TACGCAGCAAAGGAACAGCTGTAAGAATTATACTGGGCAGCTCCAAATACTGCCCAGAGGAGAGAAACAGAACTAGGAGGGCTGAGCTTTACTCTGGGAGAAGCTAGGGAGAGATACTGCAATATCTGTCCTCAGAAGAAATATCCACAAGGACAGGAAACCAGTTTTTAGTAAACAATATGTGGCTTAATTAATTTGACAGAGGAAAATATATGCAAGTACATTAGCATGTGGCCACGTATATTTACAAGTTTAATTTCTGAAGCTGTGATACCTAAAGAAAAAAAAATTTAAGGTTGCTGGGGTTTGCAGTGCCATGGTAAATGGTGAATACCATTAATGTTTTCCACCATTATGACAGGCAGAAAACCTGTATTTGAACCCTGAATCAGATTATAGTTTAATTCCTTCCAGTGTCTTCTTGCTGCCTGGGTCTGGGCAGCCCCTGCTTAGTGCCCAGTTTATCCCCTCTGAATTTTCTGTGGCCTTTAGAAAGGCCTGTTTGCACCAAACAAGTACCAGCACCAGGCAAGATCTCTGGCTGTTTGCCTACAGCACATGAAAAATTCCTGCTCCCACCATCACTTCTGCCAAAGCTAAGCCAGCACCCACAGCAGGAACTTGGGAGCCTGAGGAAGAGTGCTAATGTGCTAAGAAAGGTCCTGGCACAGGGCATGGAGAGGTTGTTAGCTCTACATTGTTGCCACTACACAAACTCTTCCACTGCACTGAGATAATTTCCTAAATATTTTTTGTACATCAATAAAAAAATAAACACAAGGAACTTTATCTTTCCCAAGGGTCATGGGCCATGCTGCAGATCAGCCAACCAAGTAAAGTGGCATCGAAAGCTGTTTGCCACCACGCATGGCTTTGTCCCTGAGATAACAGCTGGCTCCTGCGAGGCTTCCCAGACCACAGGCATTGACTTGAGCTTAGTGCTGCCCTGCTGGGGATCAACAGCTTCCAGACTGACACTGACTCTCTGAACAAAGCAGGGCTCCCTGCTGCGTGTTGGTTCCTCGCGCTCCGCAGCAGCCTCAGCACCTGCGCCACGGCCGGCAGGGAGGAGCAGGACAGCAGTGGCTTCCAGCAGGGCACAACACTTACAGGACATCCTGAGCAGGGGCACGGCTCATCCAGCCCTCTCCATCTCCATCCATGTCTGCCCAGAGCTGGAGCATGCAAAGTCTCTCCATGCACAGACAAACGTTTGCCATCTGAAGCCTCTGTAACCCCAAAGAGAGGAGAAAACACTCCCACTTTGGTGACTTTGATTAGGTTCTTTTTCCATTTTTCCACTTAGCACTGTTATGGTATGTTTCCATTTATATAAAGCTTAAAAAAATTAAAACTTCTATCTTTAAAGTCGAAATGGGATAAAGAAAGCATGAACCTTGAAGACCATAAACATTAATGGAAGAAAATCAGATGTGAAACATCAACACAGAGCAGTAAGTTGTACAGATGACTACCTGATTTGCTTTTTTCAGCCAACACATTTTTTCCACAATCCACAGTTAGCCTCATAAGCCGCCTGGCCAGGTGCAGATGCCATATTCTTTTTCTTCTCTCCCCAAAGAAAACTTTTAAAAATTGTTTCTTTCTTCCTGTTCCTGTGACAAATACTACTCTTCTCCAACCCAGATGACTCTCTGAAGGCCTAGTGAAATGAAGTGTGAATCTGTCCTGAGGACTGTGTAGCAAATCATGGAAAGAATATAAAGCATCTGTTGGTCTGGGACTAACAATTATTCGGAAAGATTTGCTTAGAATCTGAACATCCCATCATTTCAAAGGAAGGAAAAACAGGACAGCTCAGACTTCAGTGATCTCTGAACAGAAGAAGAGAATAAAAGCTGTTGCTGACATTTGCATGTGCCCACGATGTCCAAAGGACACTTGGTTCAGGGGTTGATCTTAAAAGTAATGCCCACATTCATTTTCCAGACCAGGAGGAAGATATGGAGCAAAATATGGGGAATTTTCACACATGCTTTAAAAATGCTAACAAAATTAAACCAAATCAAAATGGATGAGAGCATACCATGTAAAAGATAGGCCCTTTCCAGAATGAATGCACTGAACAAAGAGGAGAAACACATTTTGTGAAAAAGTATTTCACAAATGCAACTTAAGAACTTCACACTAAGCCATCAATGTAATTTGCCTTTCTCCAAAAAGCTTAAGCTATTACTCCATTTGGCACAACACAATCATGAGAAACAACATGGCCTATGCAGGATGTGTCTTCTCCAAGGCTTTCACTGTCAATAGTGGGCATAACACTGCTGCATCACAGCCTGGCACAGAAATATCCCACAGCAAATTTCCCAGCCAGCTGCATGACACAGCCTCAAGTTGCACCAGGGCAGGTTTTAATTTGGTATTGGGAAAAATTCTTCACAGAAAAGATTGCCAAGCACTGGAACAGGCTGCTCAGGGAAGTGATGGTGTCACTATCCCTGCAGGCATTGAAGACACATGTGGATGTGGCACTTAGGTTTAGTGTGGAGTTTGCTGTGCTGGGTTAATACTGGACTTGATTATCTAAGATCTGTTTCAAGCTAAACTATTTAAAATCCATCATGCCTTTGCAAAGACAGAAAGAAATGTTACTGTAAGCTGGAGTCCTATTTAAGAATTTTCACACATTTAGGAATGCGAAGAAATAAAGACTTTGTTACTTCATGAGGTCGTTCTGACTAGCTTTATAACCAGGTATACAACTAAGAAAAAGTAACCCTCATCATATCACTCTGATAGAGCCACATGCACACCAAGTGCTTCACAGAAGTTGTACAGTACACATTCTGACTGGAAGCACCAGTGCCATTCCATGGTGAGTCACGCTATCCCATGTACTTGGGCAGACTCACTCACCATGAGCCATATTTGTATCTGAAATGGAGAAGCAGCCCAAAGCCATTGTGCATTCTCATCAGAATACACTGTGCAATGCAGACAAGCTATTATTTGCTGTAAATAAGTAGTAAATAATTACAATATCCAATAAATGTCAGATTAATCCAGATTAGCAACAAACTTCTGTGACTTCAAATGCACCATGGTTCACTAAGGAGCATTGGTCATGAGTTTCTTTTACTGAAATGTATTTGTGGGCAAGTTAAGAAAATAATTTTAAAAAATCAGAAAAGAAACGGGCAATGGAATTATATTTGAGACATTAAATGTAGCCACTTTTCCACTTAAGGCTATCCATTGCCTACTGGTCTTTTAGTGTCATGAGAACAACAAAGGAACAACTCACACCCCTTATGTCCACTAGCACCTCCAAGCTTAAGACAGCCAAGATACTTGGGTGATGCTCAGCTGTCTCAGGATTAGGCCTTCAGCAACATCAGATTGCAGAGAGAAGGACTTCCACGGAGTACTGAGGATTTCTGGCCTGATCCATTTTCATGGGATCCTCAGACTTCTGGTTCTTGCAGCACTGTTGTGATCTGGAAAAATCCTTTCTACAGCTGACTTAGAGAGACGTGGGCTTCTGTGCTCAGTGTTACAGAAAGGAAACAAAACATGAGGGATGACTACGGAAATGAGCACTAATGGTTACTATTAAGATAATTTTGCTTCAGTTAGAATGAACAAGTCAACAATTATACAGGAAAAATTAGCTTTTATTAAAAATGTTTAGTAATAAGCAATGATTTTCCAAAATTGTTTTAACTTACTAAATCTAAACATACAAAGTCAGAAGCAAGTAAGAAATTGCTTGGTTAAAATCTTATTGAAGGTTAACTTGTCAGTAGTTCTACCAGATTTCCTGCAAGGCTTGCTTTTAAAATATCTTTTTATTGTTCTATTGGCTTTCCTTTAGAGATGCTCATCCTCCAGTAGAGATGTGTAGTCAACAACATGGATGATTTGATTCATTTATATAAACAGAAGAAAGAAAACATAAGTTGCATCCATCTCTGAGTCCAATGTTAAGGCTTCCAGAGGATTCAGAGGTCCGTATGCTGGCTGCAAAAGCCCAAGGCAGCTCTTACACTGACTGTAGTTTGCACCATACCAGAATGGCAACATACTAATTTCATATTAATTTATGAAAGTACTCTTTGGTCACAAACATCCTGTAACAGTGCATCAGATGCTACTTTTCAGCCTTTTAAGTAGCTTGTTTTATTTGTTTTATTCACGGCATTCAGATTTTCCTCATGCATGTATATTCCATTTCTGTGTGCGTGCATGTGCACGAAGTCTGAGTTGTTTCTATGCAGACACATCAGGATAGAAAAAAAGGATGTAATTTACTTTCTGATAGCTTTCAAATGTCAGACTGCAACAGCTCTAGTCTAAAATAGCCTTTTATTGATGTTCCTCGGCATATACAGTTCATCTTTAAGGTACCACATTACTGAAGTTTTCAGAATACACAAAATAAGAAATTTGTGATCCTTTTATATTATTGTCTATTACACTGTAAAGCCACGTTACTCAAACTCAAAGTCTTATTTTTGGTGTGAAAAGTTTAAGATTGAGTAAGGGAAAATCTAGCTGCTGAGGATGCACGTAAGAGTGTCTAGACAATGACACTTGCTTAAAAGGCACACCAAGAAAAGGCAAGCTAGGTTCCTCTCCTGATGGTTTAAATCTGTTCTATATTTTCTCTTTTAATATATATAGATATGAATATATACGTGTGTATATCTACACAAACCAATGTATGCACACACACCTTTGAGCTTGTGAGAACAGAAAGTTCAAGAAGCAGAAATTACTTTAAATAAATAAGAACCATAGTAATAGGGGGAAGTTGGTGCTGTTATTTTTTTCCTGCATTATGATTATAATCTAATGACACAGTGATGTGTTTATACCATTTTTTACTTTACATCATTTAGTTCTATAAATGTGAGTCGCAGGAGTACCAGGTGCATTTTATCTTGCCTAAAGTAATTTTTATAGATCTTCTGTGTTCCTGCATTTTCACTAGGAATGGTCACTGCTCTAAGAAGTATGAAGAGAGTTGAGGATAAGGACATTCTAATAGTCACAAGATTTATTTGCCACTAGGGTTTACACGTCAGAGCATGGTGTGCATGCAAACACACAGAGAATGACAACGACAGCGATGGCTGTATACAGCTCAAACCCAAATACTGGCACCAGCATGGCTGGAGAATGCTGATCCTGTAAGACCTTTTTGTTTCCATTGGCATAAGCTTTGTGACATAATGCATCATTTCCAAAATCAGCACTATTCCATCTAAATGGTCCACGTATGTTGACAATTAATGTTAAGAGGTATGAGATGATTACTAACTTCCAGAAAACATTTAACAGAAGATGCCCATACAGTAGTCACCATTAAAAGTTTAACAGCTGAAGGCTGAATGTAAAGATATTTTCAGCTGTTTTGTTTAAAGTATGACTATCACAGTGAAGTTATTTACATACAAGGCAACGATAGTAAAGATTTCAATAGAGAACACAGTAGATTGTTCAGAGAGTGGATCACATTTTCTGCGAAGTCTCAAATATTTTTTACAACATTGTAAATTCTACCAATAGTTATTCCAACAACATAAACCAGACAAGAACTTATAAAAAGCTATTAAGAGCTTGGTCCTGCACTTCTGAGTCCCCAAAATCTACCAACAGAAGACTACAGGAATTTTGAATGTTTAGCAATTGCAGGACAAACCCCCCAGAACGCTATTAAATGTTGCTTCTTTTCTATACTTATTAAATATAAGTATTCAATTTATTTTCTTTGGTTTTTAAATTACTATCCCTTTGTAGCTACAATACGAAAACAAACAAACCCCAAAGCACTAATAATTCCCCTCTCCCCTCAAAAGAGTGATTAAAAAACCCCAAATGAAACAAAAAACATATCCAGAAAGTGTAGCTGTTACTTCATTATAAAACTACGGTGCAAAATAGAGGTTTATACTCGTCAGAATTGCAATAGCAATTGGAAGTTTACACTTAAGGAGTGACTGTAAGTATTGCTTCTCCTGAATAACAAAAACTAAAACTGATTAGGCACTTGTTTTCTTGTTTAATGACAGCTGACTCAGTGTGCGTACAAATGACAGAACTCCTCTCTCAAAGAATGCTCTGTAGTGTAACAACTGGACTGTACAATCAGTCCCTGATTCAGGAGAGCAGAAAAACATGTGCCTATTACTTTATTCCTAAATTTTACTGCTATGAATGGGCTGGATACATGTTCAAGTGCTGTCCTGAATCAGGATACGTGTTGAATTTGGAGTTTTAAAAGATAATACAGTGATGAGCAGCTTTTCATTATACTACAATAGTAAGTTTATCTAATTTGACACTGCTCTCCACAGTATTATCCTAATACTTCTCAACAGAAAACAGGCATAAAATAAATAGGATAACCAAAGATTACATAATAAATATGCTACTATGTGGGAGAAAAATACATTGTAATATAAGGCTCGGTAGTGTTGCACAATCAAGAAAACATTCCAGGTGCTCCAAAACACAATTCCCAATGTACAACACCAAGTTACCACTACACGCCTGAAAGAGACTGGGAAGTAACAGATTAAACTTCTATTACATTAAACATCTGAAAATGCAAACAAGTGGTAAAGTGTTTTGCTGCCTTTGCAGAACATCATATGGATATTCTTGACTGCTGCAATTGTCACTGCTTGTGAAGGAAAATTTAACAGACTGGATTTTTGAAAACTCACATAATCGAATTCCTTCTGACTTACAAAGTTACCAGTGTCCACACTGACTCCTAGTATTGTGTTTGAAAGGAAAACAAACTCAGAAATTTTGCTGCCTCCGTTTCTTTGCATCCATTGCATCTAGGATAGGTTGCCTCTTTGCAGTGTACCTCTGACGAAGCTCCTCAATTTCTCGTTCCATCATAGGGTCCAAAGCCTTTAATCTCATCTGTAATTCTTCTAAACTCAGATTTTTTAACTGCAAAACAACCAAACAAAAAACAATTCCACAAAAAAATATTAGAAACTGTTTTCAACAAAAAAGAAAATCATTGCCTTTCATAAGCCTTTAATTTACAGCTGCAGGGTTTTACACACTTAAGTGTGTATGTATACACATAATATATATGCATGTAACTGTTGATAAAGCCAAAAGCCTCGGTGTGCTCCACAGTAAATAACAGCCTAGGAAAGCAAACACACGTAGCACATTTAATTGAAAAAAAACCCAAAACCTTTGCAGACCTTGCAAATAAATCACAAATATATCCAGGACTGGAGTTTACCTCATTAGGCTGAAAAAAGCAATCCACAGAATACAAACATATATATATATATATATATACATGTTACATATATATGTTATAACTTACATTGCATAATCAAATACTTCTTATTGAACTCATATAAAAGACTGAAAAATACACAGCTTCTGTAAATAATACTCTTGAGAGATATTTAGGGGTACTTTCTGATAAGAAGGTCAAGGCACCTTCCTCAACACGCTGCTGTCAGAACTACTCAAAACAAATTGCTAACAGTGTTTTAAGTAATATATTAAATAATTTCCTGAATTCATGGGGGGTTACCTTTGACCAAGTTCTTTTCTCAAAAAATATTTTCTCAGAATGTTTAACAGTTCATTACTGTTCATTTCACTCATTACAAGTGATCATAAAACATGTCAGTGACTTCACTGCCTTGTTGGCTGCTGCCAACAAAGGTTGAGTATTGTCAGATACTGGGGCATGTTGGGCTCTACTGCCCCACCTGCGATTGCAGGGAATGATCTGCATTTGAAATGCGTTCTTTGTCTGGCCTGTGTGGTTTTTTCCTGATGTAATTTAGTGCCATTCTGCATTTCTCTTTTGCTAGAACTGCCCATGTGCCATTCAGTCACATTATACACCAGTGTGAAAAACAGTCAGCAAACTGCAAATAGCACATATAATTTCCTCTTATGAAAGGGATAATCTTTATTTTGTTTGCAAATAGTCTGACATTGCAAACAAGCACACTATGTAACTCATGGGTAAAAAAACCCAACTTTTCTGAATCAACTACCAATGAGTCAATACTTCATTCATGAAACTAGAGCAGGCTTCTATCAACACAATCTGATCTGTTTTCCCTGAGGAATTAACTGCTACTTTTGATCTTTATTTTTATCAGCAATTGAGGCATATAAATTAGCAACACATACTGCTACATACAGTCCAAACCCCAGCATTATGACTTCTATTAACAGACCACACTGCACATAGTAAACAAATAATTTAAAGTCATAATAAAGAGAGTGGGCATATCAGAAACACATAACAGAGCATATGGAAAAGATGCACATCTTCATGCAACATCATTTTAACCATAAAAGGTTAGGTTACTAACGAAGAAGAGAATTAAGCCCCACATGTCAAAATATCTTCGAGGACCAAAGATCCCAAGATCTGTATGAGACTTCAGATGTGCTCAGCAATGTTGGTCTTACAGAATCACAGAATATGCCAAGTTGGAAGGGACCCACAAGGACCATCAATGTCCAACTGGCCCTGCACAGTACAGCCCCAAGAGTCAGGTGCCTGGGAACATTGTTCAAACGGTTCTTTAACTCTTTCAGGCTTGGTGCTGTGACCACTTCCCTGGGGAGCCGTTCCAGTGCCCAAGCACCATTTTGAAATGTCCAACCTAACCCTCCCCTGACACAAGCTCAGGCCATTCCCTCGTGTCCTGCCACTGGGCACCACAAAGAAGAGATCAGTGCCTGCTCCTTCTCCTTCCCTCATGAGGAAGTTGTAGATGGCAATGAGATCTCCCCTCAGTGTCCTCCAGGCTGAAGAGACCAAGTGACTTCAGATGTTCTTCAAGATGGCTTCTCCTCTAGACCCTTCACCACCATCTTTGCTGCCCTCCTTGCGACACTTTGTTTGCCCTCCCATGCTTTCTCCCAAAGACTCTTCTTCTCCTTATGAAGGAAAGAGTTGCCTTCCAAGGCATCAAACATCATCCATTTTACTGCACTCCTCCCATTTAACATGTAGAAAAAAGATGGGGGAAAGGAATTCCTTAGTCACCAAGACTTGTGCAGAAAAAGACCTTTTCATTTTCAGAGGAAGAAAAGATTAAAAGCCTGTACTATTCTATTTAATTTTTAGCCCACTGACATATGTAACTCGCATATGATGCACTTTTCCGTGAAGATACTCTCTTAGAGAAGTTAAGTGTCAAGAGATTTTAAGTATAATAGGAAGAGATGTCAGTGCCAACTCCACTGCTTAACTGATCCCAACACAGCACAGATGAGAGGAGCAATAAACCCACGTGTGACAGGAATAATGTATTTAGCTCGTGTGACAGGAATAATGCATTTGGGGCTCCACAGCCCAGCAAATGCCTAAGGCTGAATAATCTTGTGCAGGTGTTTTGTGAGAACTGCCAGTGATGACGTTCCTAGCCACTCTTGGCCAGTCTGGACAGCCACTTACTCTCTCAGTCACCACTGTAGACATCAGGCTTCAACGGCACAGAATAGGCTCCAACTGATGTAATTACATAATTATTCTGCTCTGAAAAAACATTTTTTCATAAATTAGCTGCAAAGAATGTGGTGGGTGAGTTTTTATTTAAATTTCAATCAAGAAACTGAGCCAGCAAACAGAATTAACTACTCTTTAAAGATCACAGACATCTGGGATGAATATTAAAATATTTTTTAAAATAATTTTTTAAGCCAGAGGCCAAGAATCTTTCAGAATTATCTCAGATATGTCTCCCAGGAGACCCAGATAGCCACAGTACTAATCTATATGAACAGCTGATACTCAGGACATTTAAAGGAAGGAAGTGGCAGAAAACAGAAGTTAGGAAGGTCTCACCTATCTGACATCAGGTGAGAAAACCACCAGTCACAGCTGAATCTGGGAAATTATTTGTGTCTGTGCACATATATGTTTCCTTGGCAAATTTAAAAATATATTTCTTTGACTTCTGTCTGTGCTATGTAGGTATTACCTCACAAACCCTAAAAGCCTGCAATAATCCAAACACTGAATGCAACAGCAAATATATCAAATAAGATGTGTAGAAATATCTGAAACAAGATATTTCATTACTCCTATGTAATTTATTGCCCTGCATGAATAAATATTTTGGTTCAAATTCTTAAAGCAATAGAGCTCAGCATTCATTTACTTCCACTTGTAAACAGTTTGCAATTTAAACTGCCATTAATAATTCACCAAGTAGCTTGTAGCATTTACTACTGGGGCTACTGGCATTAATGGGAAGGGAGAGGGAAGCATTCAGTTGTACAAGCTACAGGAATTTAGAAAGGCTTTAAATTTTATTTCAGTAGCTTCTAGAAAGCTGTTAACTGTAACGAATTGTTCCAATTACAATTGTAATCAGGATAGCATTTGTATGACAGTAATACATCATTCCATTTCTGCCACTTCACATAATGGTCCAAACTATGCCCTTTCATAAATCAAACACCCACAACCACACAAGAGACAGTAATTAGTGTCAGGATGGGCCACTTCCAAGACAGAGATCTTAATGGAATTTCTGGTAACAGCGTTTGTCTTCACTGGGACCCTTTATTTCACCAGGTAATCACATGGATTTGAGAAAGCAATAGTCCAAACTCCAATTTACAATGCCACAAACAGACACGGCCTTTTAGAGTGAGTACACTTCCCCAGTTTTCCAGAAGAAAATTAGGTGTACAATGATAAAACTTTTCTCCTTAAAGATGTATTTGTTAACCTAATCATTAAAGAGAGCTACAATGCATAAGGGAAGCAAATCAAACAAGGAAGTCAAACCACTGTCAGAGCCAGATGACATCAAATAATTTCTCCTCAAAGCTAATGTATTCTCAAGATATAGTCACGTGCAAAGAAGTCTCATTGAAATTCTCTGCTTTGCTAGAGGAAGGAAAATCAACTTTGCCTACGAAGAGACCAGACAGACATCCTTGTGGGACAAAATCAACCAGTGCTGCAAGCTGAGCACCAGCAGCTCCTGCCTCCACTTTCTCCTCTCCCTGATCCAGGGGGAAATCCTGGCAGAAGGCAACCTTTCAGAAAGGAGTTCCATCGACTCAAGTTCCCAAGTGGCTGAAGTATCTTTCAGCAGCACCAACCTAAGATGGGACAAATAGAATAAAAGCATAACTAACCTTTTAACTGAACTACAATTTTCAGTTATAATATTTGGAGAAGACAACTCAGCCACACACTTGGGAGACAAGTAAGTCTGGAAACTTAGTGCACTTTATCTCAAACTTCCAGGAAATGGGACACCAATTTAACTCCTCCTTGCTCGTTTTTCAACTTATTTCTAGTAGGTTGGAGGCTTTTCCAGGAAGGGCCACATGTAGATGTTAAAAAGGAGCAGAACAGATAAGGAATCGTTAGCAAGCTTTTTTTTAATGTGAGTGTCCTCATTACGCTGGGATACAGTAAAAATCCAAAAGCTGAGGCAGCTCCAGGCATGAAGTGTTCCAGTTGCCATCAGAGCACAGGTCAGAGCTACAAGCGCTCCACTGAAAGGAGCACTGCCCTTGTGTGAAGGTGGTAGGAGCCACTGCTGATCACTCCAGGGGCTTAAAATAATCCAGCATGATCACGCAAGGTTTGTTGAATACAGTGCAAATTAGCAAGTCATCAGAAGAACACTTCCTATTGTAGTGGGCTGACCCTGTCTGGGTGCTAGGCACCCACCAAAGCTGCTCTGTCACTCCCACAACTGGACAGGAGAGAGAAAATGTAACAAAGATTCACAAGCTGAGATAAGGTCTAGGAGAGACCACTCACCAAATTCTATCATGGGCCAAACAGAACTGAATCAGGGATATTAATTAAATTTACTTATAACAAAATCAGAGCAGGATAACAAGAAGTCAATTGGACTTCTGTTAAAACACCTTCCCTCAGTTAATCAGACTGTTAAAAATACCTTCCCCTCCACCCCTCCCTC